GCAGCTTTGACCCGCCACCATATCTGAGAAGCCATGGTTAGAGGTTAGCTACTCAGCAAACTAAGACAACAAGAAGGAAAACTGGTCGCGCTTCACACGCTATTTAGGGACGCGATCATCTTCCAGCTTAGAGCTCGTGATAAGGCTTAGTGACTTGTCAAGTTTCAGTACCTTATTGTTAAACATTCAGCAAATGTTCGAGAGAAGAGAAAATATGTCTTTTTTTGCCCACAAAAGAACGATAAATTTTTTATCTACAAGATTTCAGGACTGAATATATCGGTGATAGCCACTGGATTAGAACCTTAAGAAGTGTGATTAGATCTGACAGATGGTTACTTGAAGGTTATTGGCACTATTACAGCAGGTACGAATATTTTTTTTCTAAACCAAATCATGTTGGCTTAAATCAGGTCAAACACGGTCGAATTCAAGAATGGCGTCGGAAGTGCCACAGACCTCCTCATGCAATCATCTGGAACTTAGATACCGGTTCTAAGCAAAAGGTCATCGATGCTCATTTGCTTGTTTGATCTTTATAAGGTCATGATGATCAAAAACTTACGGCACCGTCTTAATTCAGGAAAAAATGAGCAAATTTTTTAAAATAAATTTGACCAGAACCCTTTGAATGGATGATTTCTGGGATCAGCGCTGACGCTAAGCAGAGCTTGTTGTGTGAGCCCTGGCCCCCACCATCCGATCGCGCAATTCCAGGCAACGGCAGAATTTAGTGGCGGAAAGCTTAACGTGCCGCAATGCTCGGCACGGTCCGTCCTGCCCTCTGACGTCAACTGACCTTTAGCGCGACCGCTGCCACCGGCCGCAGACCATACATGCCAAGGGCAAATAGCGAGCGCCCTAAAGCGACTCGAACCCACCCTGCCACGTGTGGGTGGATCGGACGGCAGGCCCTCTAACCAAGACGGACTGAGCCACCGGGACGGACGGACAAATGCAAAAGATAACGCTGGATGGTACGTTCCTAAGACCAAGGGTTTCCTTGGGTCAGTTCATATCAGTGACCTACTCTGACCTGTGGGAAGTTCATGGAAGATGTCTGTTGTGGTCCCTGTTACCACCAACTACCCCATAAAGCGAGCTTTTCAGTAAAAAAGCAGGTTGGTTTTGACCTCTGTCTGGCCCTTATATCTGACCCTAGGCAAAGTAATTTACTTCTATCCTAAATTCAATTGTTTGATGGTCTATGAAACTATGTCATAGGTCTTTGGCTTTGTTTAACACTCTGTTGTCCAATCAGATTTGACGGATCCCTACAAATTGCTCTCGCTGACAACCGTGGCTTGACTTTCGCCTGCTATAGATCAGCACATTACAAGGTATGTCTACTTTTCATACCGAACGATCCGCAAAGTTTGGTGCGGCACGCAGAAGCGCTCGGAAATGATTTCATAGCAGTTTTCGGGAGATGGGGTCAAATTGGCCCGCCGCCGCAGCACGTGTTAAGGAAAACACGCTGGATAGATTTTCCGAAAAAAATCGACATTTGAAATCACTGAGCTTTCAGGCTACGGATGGTACGATTCAGCTTCGATGATTGTCCGCCCCGGCCGCTTCCAACGGATCATACGAGCACGCACGGGCTTATCTATTGCTCGGGAGTCAACTCTGCCTCTGAGCATGCGACACTAAAACATCATTTGGCTAGCAGATGGTGTTGTGAATTTGGGTTAAGCAGTCCGATGGAAAGCAAACTAAAAAAACTGTCGAATTATGCGTGGGTCATTCATTCCTGCGTTGTGTCAGCGCGCATGCACCTCGGGCGTCCCCGAAAGTTTCAAACCCTGTTTTCAAATAGCTTTTTGTTTCTAATTCAGCCAATTCCACACAAGCCGTTACATTTTATTGTATGTGAAATATGTAGCCCGGTTCTAACTTTTGACCTATGATATCGTCCCAGTGAGCTCTTTTTAATCATCGGTGAGAACTGGTGCGTCATTAACATTTTCTGTTATATCGAGCAACTGCACAGAAAAGAACAACAATCATCTCTAAGCCCAACAGGGATAGTTCAAAGAATGGGCAGTGGTTATCTCCCTAGCAACTTGTGGGAGCACCGTGTCAAATTATGTGCTTTTCAGGGGGGGGGGGGGCTTGAGCCTTCCCAATATTTGGGATTATTTAGCGTTGCGCTTCTGGCGGCGCACGAAAAGATATAAATCAAAGTGCTTCTGAGCCAATTAGCTCTGGACAGCTTTCATCGCTCATGGCAAAGTATCTTGATCATGTCAGCAACCGGTTCAGCTAAGGTGTGCATGCTGTATATATATATATATATATATATATATATATATATATATATATATATATATAAATGATTTGCAATAGAAGCTCACAAACAGGTGCATACATATCAGCACAGTCGTTTGACTGCAGTGCAGATCATCAGGGGTGATACCATCATGACTCAGATGTTCACCGAAAAGGTACCTGCACCTGAGTTACCATGTATCTAAAAGTTTCCCGTCTAGCTATGTAAAGAAGCAGCGTCAAAGTTCCAGGGTAAAGCATTTTTGCTACGCATTTATCGTTTTCTTACGGGAGTATTGGCAACCAACAGGACATAATTCTTACCTGATTGAACTGAGAAGAGCTTGTGCTATTTAGGTACTTTGTTTTCTAATGTCCTGTATAAAACTTGTACGCCTTTACCTGTTGTTTGAAATTCAATGTTTGAAATTTCAAAGATAACTGCGATGGTATCTTTCTAACAAAGAAGAGTCCACTACCGCAGTAGCGTACACAGGGGAGAGGATTTTCGAGACCTGTCCCTCCTCCCCCCCCCCCCCCCCACCGGGCGAAGGCCTCAGTACTGCCTGGCACTTGCAAAACGTCCGGAGGGCTTCTGAAACGAAACCAACCCGCAATGCACCAAAATGGGATCCTAGGTCCAAATTCCATAATTTGGCCCCCTTATAGACGAAATTCTGGCCACGTCACTGACTGCCGGGGTGAAAACGTTTCCAAAAACGGAAAAGCAAAGTCCCTTTTTGTGGTCCGCCCTTCCACCATCTCTGGAAGCCCAATGTTTGACTGTGCCGGGAGTGGGAAGGCCGTGGTCTCGTGCTTCTCCCAGCCCCTACGCCTGTGGCCATCGCATTCTACGTTGACAACCCAGTAAAAATATTGCAGGTCAATCTGACGTATATTACACCGGTTATGACCGCCGACCTGCGCTGCGGATGTATGTGCTTGATTTAGCGTTTTACTTCAGCGTTGCCGTCACGTGTCACTAATGAGAGGTCCTTCTGTGCTGAGCGCGACAGCAAGGTGACAGACCTGACGTATTCCGACACCATGCACTGAGAATTGATGCAATAACGCGTGACTTGCCGCCGCCCTTAAGCTTCCGCGAGATGCACATCCGGAGCCTCATGGCTTCCTGCGAACTCCGAGCTGTTTTGTACACGAGACGGAGTGTCGCACGGGGGTGTGGATCCATCCTGACTTCTCGTGTCCCCATGCAAAGGGGAGAGGGCACCTAAGCTGTGACTATAGGTCGGCATATGGTGAAATGCGCTTGCTACAAGATTTGGCCGCATTCTAGCCAGCATGGATATCATATTAAGGGTCTGCTTTGCTGAGCCCGCTAAACGAGGGAAACGCACTGCGTAGCCCCAGTCTCTCCTTGGATGACTCACAAAAGGCCTGAACAAGATTCTCTGGTGCGATTGCTAGCCGATCTGGATTTTATTAATTTCATGTGAATTGGAGATGAGTAGGCGACCAGTTTGATTTGCTTGTATGTATAGAAAACGTAAACACGCTTGCTATACTTATCCTGCACGCTGCAAAGAAAGGGAGAGCGCTTTTTAGGCTAGGAAATTCAGTACTTAACATTAAATGTACCTGGTGCTGAAAAAATGCATGCAGCGCAATAAAGATGGGCAAGTGAGACGCATGGATTGAAAACACACGGACTAGCGAATTGATTGATTAAATCTTGATACGAATTTTCACCCAGTGTGATGTTCACTTGATTAAACCTCAGACCATACATGCAATCACTCTTGTCTTATTTAAGTGGTTTGAGAAACTGAAACGAGCCCTTCCGTTTTGCCGGCTGTCAGAACGCAGCATACACCGTGGTATGCTAGCAGAACGGGGTTCAAAATGTGCGTTCATGAGCCGTTAAGCTGATGCATCTGCGAGCTCAAGACTAAAACTAACACCGTGCTGTTGCCTGCTAAGCCGACCATAGCTTGTGCATCACAGGACAAAATTAATGCACGGGAAGGTATCCAGGAAGTAATCACCAAAAGAATCTGCACGCACTTAATTATGACTGCACCCAATCCGTCTGCACATCTGGCGTCACGCTCAAGCTGAAAGCAGCATCGCGAGGCCCGTCCGGCGCTGCTCCTGGCCACGCGCCAGGCGTTGCGTGCAGCTTTGCACCAGTGAGAACCATAGCACCTGTTCGCGAACGGCACGTGGCTCGGGTCCGACTGAGGGCCAGCTGGCGGCCGGACGATCCACTCACCCGAGCAGCAGCAGGGGCGCTCTGACGCGCTCCATGATCACTTCGGCTGTCGACGCTCACTTCAGCGCATGCCTAGCCGGCCAGCATGAGAGGAGCGGGCTGCCGGTGGCGCTGGGGGACGCGCGCGGGCGTTTGCCGTGCGCGCGGCGCCGACTGCGGCAGCGAGCGGACCAGCTCCCAGTGTCGGCGCGCGCCGCCCCACTCTGCCGGGCCGCGCCGGCCGGCCGCCAGCGACGGCCACGAGCACGGCGAGACCCGCCCACGAGAATATAGTGCCGGTTCGCGGCGCTCCAGGTCGCTAGCGGCGAGGTCGAGACCTGTCAAAGAACACGTAGGGTTACACCGTGCGACAAAACGTACACACTTGAAACCGAGCTGGGTCGCGAGACGCGCCAGAGCGCCAGCTTGACTTAGGCCACGCCCCGAGCAGCGGCGGCGTGGTCCTCCGCGCGCCGGCCGGGTGCCGTGGCGCGCGCCCAGATCAGTGAGCGCCCCAGTCACGGGGGGAGCGTGCTGGCCCCGGCTCGGTGACCGCGCCGCCCCATGCGCCGCCGCCCCGTCCGTCTGTGACACGCGACAGGATGGCCGCCGCGCGCTGGCTGCCGCTCGCGCTGGCCGCCCTCTTGCTGCTGCTCCGGGTCCCTCGGACGGCCGACGCTGCGGTGAGTCCCCAAGCCGGTGCGCGCTCGGCGGAAGGCCCGGCCCTGCAGGCAGCTCTGGGTGGAGTAGGTGTGGACGGCTTTCGTAAGGGGTTGGGGGATAGGTTTCGTGTGTACTGAATGCGATTTGTCAGGTATCAAAGCAACCAAGTCGGATACCTCTGCTGATAAAAATAATTTTTTTGATTTTCTGGCCCAGTGTTTATTTACCAAGTTGACGCACTGTTTATCAGCCGTTTATTTCGAAGTCATGTGTACGCTGGCATTTTTTTCACGCAGCCCAAACGTGAGGCAGGTGAGTGGGGTGGCCTCCCGGTCCGGTGCGGACCGCTCGGCAGCAGAAGGGCGGCGAGTGCGCCGCCAACCTCCTCCGCGCCAAGAGGTTCTGGAGCTCGCCGCCAGGGGCACGCAACCATGCGCGCGCAGCCCCTGTGTTTTGCAAGGAGGCCGCCAGAGTGCAGTTAGGCTTCTCTGAGCCCTGCGCCGAACAGGCGAGGTGGCTGTGGGTCCGCGCAGGTCCCAGATTCGCCATGGTCTCAGATCCGCCTGGTGGAGACAGATTAACGCTGCGGTGACGCCTCTCAAGTAGCCTGAGCACTGATGCCACAGCATCGCGCGAGCAGTCAGGGCTTGTCTGTGGCACAGCACACGCGGCAGAAAACGGGCGGCGAAATACTTGTATGCAGAATAAATCATGACACGTTGGAGAAAATCCGGACACTCTCACCCTTGCTCACCAGGCGCGCGGGTCAGCTGGCCTCACGGTAAACCGGATGACACGCAAAGTCGCTGTTGATGAAACAGGCACTTCCAACAAAGCAAATGACGGAAGATCTTCTTTGCGAACACATCAGACAATCAAACCAATGAACACTGGTGTTATGCTGTATTTAGATCGAGCGTTGCTGCATTTTAGTAAAGTGGTGCAAACACTGTGTTAGACATGGGTTTGTCGCTTATTCCACGTTTGACCACCTGCCACTTAGCCATATTTCTTCTCTGGAAATGGAGCCAAGCTGATGCAAGTGCTTGGAAGACACCGAGCGCGTGACACTCTGTAGATGCATGACTATCCAGTCGAGAATGGCCAAGCTAGTCGTGAAATTGGATCCATGACCTGCACAGAACCGTCAACGTCATTCCTGAGCCAACGAACTAAGAGGAACAAACTTAGAAACGCTCCTAGCTTAGCTTCGTATGGAAGGTACCATCGACGTTTATTGGAAACGAAATCGGCATTTTTTGCTCATTGTATTCCCCTATAAACACATGGGGATGTTAACAGCGCAGCGTAACACGTGATTAGCGCAAGAAGGACAATTAACGCTCAGGAGATGAAGCAAAATCACTAGCACTACAATCCACTACACACCATCAGATCCACTACGAAAAATCCACTACACACCATCAGATATGGGGCTTTGCTGAATTGGGTGACAATCCTGAGCGAATTAGACATTTCGGACATAACAAACTATTTGCTTTTCTGGACTTAAGCTAAAATTGGCAGCCATGCATGTTAGACACAACACCTCTATGCATAGGGACACCAATTCTATGTAGGACCTATCCGTATTTCTGGACAGGGATCCGCAAGTGCTCTTGTGGCGCCGTTACCTAGAGAATTTTGGGCCCAAAATGTGCAAAGGTGTTGGATATGAATTAAAATGGATCCAAATATGAATTTTGTATGCACCCGATGAGACTGACACCCGAAAATAACCGGAGGGAAGGACTAGATCACACTTGTTTTAAATATGATTTTCGTTTCGGTCAGACTCCCACTCCAGCATTGTACCTAACCGAAACAAAATTTAACGAAATAGCCGTTTTCTTTTACTCTCTGTACCATCAATCACGCAACAAATAGGATTCAAGCGAATCCAGGAACGGCGATGCCTAGCGTAACTCCAAGAGCACGCATGCGTATCACTAGCGCAGTCTAGTGACGAGTAATAAAAGTCGAGTGCACGTAATGAACGCTAGAGGCTGGGACATCGCATCTTCTGGAGAGTATCCTGTACCGCAATGCTCGCGTGTAGTACGGCACACTGAGCCACCCGGCCCGAAGATCGGTGATTACCGAGAAATCTCATTGGCTGGGTTTTCGTCGCACTGCGTGGAGTTGAAGTGAGCCAGGATCAGGAGACTCAACTAGAAATTCAGCTTTCTTTAGCAAGTCGGATAGGCTATGAAGGCTTTGATCGCGTCCAAGTGCGGCACCCAAACGATTTTTACGTCATATTTTTTGGTCAAATTGTAGAGCAGCACCAGAAAAATGTGCTGCTTTGCTTAAGCGTCCCTTTTCAGCTTTGACCATACGGCGTGGTGGTTTCATGATATTTACGACGCAAACAGTTGTTGGCTCAACTTTGGAACGCAGCAACATCTATGACTATCAATGCATTTTTATTCTTCGCCACACTGATTGCAGACGTGTCGTTTTATCATCATTTCATGTTTTCTTTTTATTGCATAATGATGTGCATAGTGCGGAAAATTACATTGCTTCATATTCGATGTGTTTCCCGTTACATCAATGTATACGATGGGCACGTGTCATTTATGCTCCATTTTTCCCAGCCGGGAGAACCGGGTCATGATTCACCTTACCCCAGTGAGACTGACTTAAATATCTGTTTTAAGGGAAGTACTGCACATTGATATGAGGTTTTAAGTGAAATAGCCATCTTGAAGACCTTCTGGTGCTGTTAACAGTCCTTCCCTCTTAAGACCTAAACCCCTTTAGTTTCTGAGCTACACGCTCAAGAGAATGTGCAGAATATTTTGTGAAAACTATTTCAAATTCACCCAGGAATCTATGAGGCCATAGTTAAGTCATTCAGATCCTACCATTTCAGTGCCGATGCGGTAGTCAAGGCTAAGAAAAATATCGTTGTCGAGTCCTTCGTATGCTGTGTTCATGTGCACAATTTCCAGATATAACGACTGTCCAGATATAATGTCCAGATATAATGATATGTTGTGCATGGTACGATGATAATAAAAATTATGTATTGAGCAGCATATTTACTCAACAGAGCAATGGCGCTAGGCTGAACAGTCTTGTCTACTTAAAACTATGCGAAAAGTTATCAGTGAGCTTATTTTACCATATATGATGCTTCAATATCCTCAACTGTGGAACATTCCCTTTAAGCTGTTGTTTTAAACGTTCTGTTTCTGCTATTTTCTGATTCATATAAGTTGGAGTCACTTGTTCTAAACGCCCACAGTTCCCCCGTGCTGTAAAGTTCCACGATTATTCACTTCCCTCTTGACTTGCTCACTGTACCAAAATGTAGAAGTCTCAGCTTTGCATTGCACGGGCGATTAGACCGGACAGTGAATAGATGAGTGGACAGCTCCGTTAGAAAGTTCTTGGGTGCAAAACCATAAGGATAATGAGTTTGCTTCTTGAGTAATGATAATCACGCATGTGCACACACAAGCCTTAAGCCCTTTGCCATCACAAAATGGACCATTCGCAGCCTACACTCCTCACCAGGACCACCGCAGCCGTGTCCAAAGTCAGATACAAAACTAGAGCCCTCCAGGGATCCTGTCCACAGCTATGCGGAGACGCGAATACGCCGCTCCTCAGCATAGTCAAGGCGAGTGTGTGTTTGCAGCAACACCCGCCCGCCGTCTGGAGGCTTGCATCCGGTACCGCCGCCGCCGCCGCGGGGCCGGAAATTCCGTCGTTATTCCGTTCCGCCCTCTCTCCGGACACAATGGGCCGTGACCTGTCGGACGTCCACTCCCGCTCGCTCCCGCCCTCCCACCCTCCCCCCTCCAGCCGGCCACCGCCCACGCCCGGCGGCCGGGGGGCAGCAGCGGACGCTGTTTATTCAAGCAACAGCTGCACCGTGTCGCCGGCCGCGGCCGGCTCGGTATGCGACTCCACTGCAGCCGCCGACCGCTCTGTAAGCAAACAGGTGGCGGCCGCGGCCGACCTGTTTATGCCTCGGGCGGGGTTCAAGCGGGCCGCCGACGGTGACCCGGTCCCACCGGCGGCGTCCCCTGCCGCCCGCGCACCATTACGTCATGTGCTGTCCTTCGCGGCACTGTTTATTGCATGGAAGCCACCTCCAGACGCCGTGACCCCCGCGGCCGGCTGTTGTGACACGGCCTGGACGCCAGACGGAGGAGCTGGCCGAGCGGCGGGAGACGTGCGCTGGGAGCGGCCCGGACCGACTGCGTCGATGATCTGCGTGTGGGTGGGGGAATGGCGCAACACATCACGTGGGACCAAACACCTTGTCACACTGCCCATGGCCAAGCGCTGAAAATCTTGATGCATCACACCTCATCAAGCACCATACCTGTGCGATGCTTGGAATTGCACTGGTGATGTCGTATGGACCCGAGCAGACAGTCTTTTGGCCCGGTAATATCAGGACGCAATCGCTGGCTTGGGGCGCGGTTGAAAAGTTCACATTGCAATGCCAGAAAAAGGGAGGTGAAACCGATATTTTACCGAACTAATGCAAGTTATATATATATATATATATATATATATATATATATATATATATATATATATATATATATATATATGTGTGTGTGTGTGTGTGTGTGTGTGTGTGTGTGTGTGTGTGTGTGTGTGTGTGTGTGTGTGTGTGTGTGTGTGTGTGTGTGTGTGTGTGTGTGTGTGTGTGTGTGTGTGTGTGTGTGTGTGTGTGTGTGTGTGTGTGTGTGTGTGTGTGTGTGTGTGTGTGTGTGTGTGTGTGTGTGTGTATGTATGCGTGTGTGTGTATAGATACATTTGCGTGTCTTAATACGCTATGTTAAAACCTATCACGTCATATTTGAACACCTCCGACGCGCGGCCGAGGTTAAATGCCCCAACACGCGTTCCTAAGCCACCACGGACATACCATGAATGGGACGATTGCTTTGAAAGCTTAGTAATAGACGTAGACAAGGTCATTTGGATGAGAAAAGGCATCTGAAGGCTCTCTGAAACTGCTCTGAGTGAGCAGATATAATGCTTTAGGCTCTGCGTAGTATTGTGCTAGACTAGGGTCAGCAATGCGCTGGAGACGGTTTAGGATTTGCTCCGCCAACAGCATTTTTTTCTACCTGAATAAGTTGCAGCTGTGAGCGGTAATAAAAACACCACTCGGGGGAAACGGAGACGTTCCCACCGACTACCTTATCCAGTAATTATGTCTTTGTCTTCAGTCTCTGACCGTCGTTGGTGGAAACTCTGACCCATGCTTACATATTGGTTCCACGTAGTTCCAGAAGGCTCAAATCACAACCGTAACCGTGGACCGTAACGTCCCCAAATACTCCGTCCGTGGCTCTCATGCCTGTCTAGTCAGTGGCCTCCTTGGACGCCTTAACTATGACTTGTTCCTGACGTCCGCACCAGTCGCTCACCCCCATCTTTATTTCAGGCATGCAAGGGCTGCGTGGTACAGAACTGCATTTGCGAAGGAGACAAGGGCTATGTGGGCAACCCGGGCATCCCGGGCCTGCAAGGCTCGCAGGGCTACCCCGGCGACACGGGGCCCGAGGGTCCGGGTGGCCCGTCCGGCATGAAGGGCTCGCGTGGCGAGGAAGGTGGCCAGGGAGCCAAGGGCTACCGCGGCCGCCAGGGCGCCGCCGGCTTCCGAGGAGCGCCGGGAATCGCTGTGAGTGGACCAGGCAGACGAATTTGGGGAATGGATCGTGTGAGTGGATCTGACGAGTGGATCGAGATGATGACTCTGGCAAGTGGATCGGGAGGATGGATCTGGGGAGTGGACCGAGCGAGTGGATCGAGTAAGTGTCAGGCGGATATGGTGAGTGGATCACATGGATGGATCTGGTGAGCAGTGCGTGGATCTTGTGAGCGGACCGTACGTATGGATCTGGCGAGTGGCGGGTGGATCTGGTGAGTGGATGGGGCGTATGGATTTGGTAACATGACCTGCCGGGCGGGCCTGCTCATTGATCGCGTGGACGGTGGAAGGCTAACATGAGACGCAGCCTCTAACGACGCACCACGAGGGGTCACAAGACAGTCATAACCTGAATGGAAGTGTAGGAAGGGGGCTGGGTGGCACCGATGTGATGTCACTCAGCAATATGTTTATTGTACCTAACATACTTCATGGCATGACATCACGTCGGAGGTTGGGTTACCGTCACATGAAGAGAAGCTGCATTCCTAGGTTGTAACTACATTGCGCTAGTTGTGATTGCTCATCAACGTTACCAGCACTGCATGCCCTAAGAAAAACAACATATAGCTTCATATCGATCCGTTAAGCCCGTTTTTTGAACCTTTAACTGTTCCTGGAATATGTAATGCAGCGCGTGAAACATCAGCCGTGCGTCCTGACCATGCTGTTCCCCGGGTGAGCAGGGTCTGCCGGGGAACGAAGGTTCTCGGGGCGCGCTCGGCTTCCCTGGCTGCAACGGCACGGACGGCCAGCCGGGTCTGTCGGGTCTGCCCGGCCTCACCGGCCCTCGGGGGCAGCCAGGTAAGCCACCGGCGTCCCTGCCCGCCCTCCTCTCCAACGCAGGCAGGCGCTCTGGCGTCGTGTCCAGGAGTGCTCGCGGCGTAATCTCCTCCCCAACATTGAGGCGGTCGGCGTTCTCAGCTGAAGACAACTGAAGCATCGTGGGGTTTGGTCGGTGAGGCCACGGAGTGCGCGCGTACGTGCGCTCACCTCAGTAGCGTTGTGAGGCGGAGTTCGTGGCACCGCTGGATGTGAGCCGCCGCCGATCCGCCGCCCGCCCCTGCGGCTGTCCCGCCACCGCCTGATCAGTCCGACTCCTGACCCCTCAGAGTCTGACCCCGATCCGCCGCCCGCCCTCTGCGGCTGTCCCACCACCGCCTGACCAGTCCGACTCCTGACCCCTCAGAGTCTGACCCCGATCCGCCGCCCGCTCCCTGTGGCTGTCCCGCCACCGCCTGACCAGTCTGACTCCTGACCCCTGAGAGTCTGACCCCGATCCGCCGCCCGCCCCCTGCGGCTGTCCCACCGCCTCCTGGCCAGTCCGAGTCCTGACTTCTCAGAGTCTGACCCCGATCCGCCGCCCGCTCCCTGTGGCTGTCCCGCCGCCTCCTGGCCAGTCCTAGTCCTGACCCCTCAGGGTCTGACCCCGATCCGCCGCCCGCTCCCTGTGGCTGTCCCGCCGCCTCCTGGCCAGTCCTAGTCCTGACCCCTCAGAGTCTGACCCCGATCCGCCGCCCGCTCCCTGCGGCTATCCCGCCGCCGCCTGACGAGTCTGACTCCTGACCCCTCAGAGTCTGACCCTGAGCCGCCGTCTCCGCAGGGCAGGACGGCCTTCGGGGCCCCCAGGGAGACCCGGGAGACGGCGGCGCCAACTCGGTCGGCATCAAGGGCGAGCAGGGCACCGCGGGTCGACCGGGCGGAGGCGTGAGTCGCCAGCTTACAAACTACACTGTCAGAGCCGGCTACGCTTCTCGGCCGCTTGGACCCGTTGTGCTAGACGCATAGGGCTCTGAGAAGTCCTCCAGTCATCACAATCACGTCGTAATTATTGGCATCATCATCGTAGCATACGAAGAGCACCACAGCACCGACCCTCACTCCTGCTGTAACGAGCACACCGGTGTTGTGCTCCGCTGGTGACGCGGGCATCGCGGGCGTATGGGCGAGACTCCTGCACACCGTGAAGGCCCCAGCAGTTTGCTACCAGTTCTCATTTCTCACGGAGGACGAGTTTTATCGTGACACTATTCGTTTGGTGGTCAGGGTGCCATAAACATAATATGCAAAGAAAAGGGCGTTTCCGATTTGCTCCGCGCCGGTCTTTTAACAAATACGTTGAGCTCAATATTTAGCCACAAAATATATTTCCGCATGCCCGTAGCCATGCTGTGTAGGAATACCCCATAAGGCCCGCCCATTCCAGTTATTTTACGTATCGTGTGGGGCTTGTTACAGGGTTTGCCTGGACTACCGGGACCAAAAGGCTACACAGGATTTCAGGGAGATCCGGGACTCAGGGTAAGTTTATTTGCTATTCTTGTCTGGACTGGGGTATTAGCCATCATGGCCCATTTACATGCTAGGCATGCCTTCGTGGAAGAGGTAAAAAAGACTTCAGTGCTATCAACGAGTGAAATAAAATGCTTGCCATTTCTGCTATTATATCCAGAATTCCAGCATCATGCCAACAAATCCATATGGAATCGTAATTTTAGACCCCTTGCTTCACCGTATTGATCTAAGAACATATGTTTTGCAACCATGGAATGGCCCATCAATACCCTGCCATGACCTGCTCGTGTTCCGCTGTAGGGCCCGCCTGGTCCCGACGGGCTTTCTGGCTTCAAGGGCGTGAAGGGCGCCGCTAAAGTGGGTCCTAAAGGTGAAAAGGGCCAAGGCGGAGAAAGAGGACCGCCAGGTCAGCCTTTCACTTTCGCAAACCAGCCCCCAGGAATATCAACTATACCGTAAGTAAAGCCCATGGGCATCTACAAAACCGCGTACCTCGGGTTTTCTTAACACCTCAGTTTCTCAAGTCTTGCTGGCGGCATCATAATGCTTGCGATGCTGTGATGTTGTGATTCTGTAAATTATCAGTTGAAGGGTACTCAGCACAAAAATGAAGAATGACACGAACACCTGTAACCTAAGCTGTTTTGTCCCGCCATGATGCCGATTGGTGGCACGTGCGCTGGTTCGCTGGCGCATCATAAACAATCATGGCATGCGTCGTTTGCCGCAGGGGCCGCATAGGACCGGATGGGGCCAGGGGCCCTCGAGGAAGCAAGGGCCCGCGTGGCCCGCCCGGGGAGGACGGCAGGGCCGGCGTGCGGGGCCCCAGCGGCCAGAAGGGCATGCGTGGCCAGCGGGGCCATGAAGGCCGGCGCGGCAAGCAGGGCCGCCCCGGCCAGTCGGGCCAGTACGGCGACAAGGGTTCCAAGGGCGCGCCAGGCTTTAGCGGCCTCGACGGCGGGTTCGGCCGCCGGGGCAGCCTCGGCGAGCCGGGCCGGCCGGGCACGCCCGGCACGCAGGGCGACGTTGGGCCTAAGGGCTTCTACGACCCGGCCATCGCTGAGGAGATGAAGGGCTCACAGGGCGTACAGGGTGACCTCGGCTTCCCTGGCCGGCCTGGCGAGCCGGGCCAGCCGGGCCGCACCGGCCAGGTCGGCCCGCTTGGCTTCGTGGGGCCGCCGGGGCCGCGCGGCAGGCCGGGCGACAGCGGCGCGCCGGGCCTCGTCACGCCTGGTAACCCGGGCGAGGATGGCCAGCCGGGTCCGGCCGGGCCGCCCGGGCTTCCCGGCGCCGCCGGCCCGGCCGGCTTCCCCCGCCCGAAGGGCCAGCAGGGCGCCGTGGCTATCGGCGAGCCAGGCCGAGACGGCATCCCCGGCCGACCGGCGCTCGACGGCCTGCCTGGCGACCGAGGCGACCCCGGCTTCGCAGGTGAGCACGCCGGCCACCGCCAGCGGTGGACCGAGCCCGCCGCGCGCCGTACGCTCACCCCGTGTTGAAGCTGTCGGCGGATAGGTCTCAGGATAGCGCCTCATGTTCAGGGCGCTCATCCCGTGTTGAAGCTGTGAGCTGATGCGTCTCAGGGTCGCCTCGTGTTCATGTTCTTGCCCGGGAGGGATGGTGGCAGGTGCATGGGAGATCAAAATAAACGCAATAGCCGCAACCTTTTACGGCAATGTCGGCACACATGCGGGTTTAGAACTGAGATGGTTTATTTTTGGGATGCCCATGCTTTATGACAACACAAGTGCGGCCGAATGCGCCACAGCTACCGCATCCCACTATCACGTCTGCATGATAACAGCATGCTCCTACTTCTACGCGACGCTTGTACAGCACACGCGTGCCCCCAGGTCCCAAAGGCATACCGGGCATCGGAGTGAGGAAGGAGGGTCCGGAGGGTGCACCGGGCCTGCCCGGCCCGCCCGGACCGGCCGGCGAGGCCGGCAGGGACGGACCGAGAGGTCCGACCGGCGTTCCAGGGCGCCGTGGCGACGACTGCCTGCCCCAGAGCCGTGAGTGACGTCACAGGATATCAGGGGATGACGTCAGACGTCAGTCATGAGTGTGGATACTTTGGTGGAGGTGGATCCACGTGTCTGTTATTTTGCTCCTCTTTGCTAAAGAGTTGACGCGCATGCGTTTCGCTCGGTAAAACTGCCTCCTTGAATGTGTTATGCAAATGTACAAACAATTTCATACGTAGATGCCGTTGCTGGTAAATTTTACTCCTCTTTTCGCATGGTTCTTCTGATATGCAAGCGCTTTTATCCGCCTAGAATATTCAGTCTTAAAATTTGTTCGTTTTTAGCAGGTAATGCTGTTTCATTTGCGTTGTTCATCAAACTGCTGTTGTTAGATGCTGCTGTTGCCCTGGAAACCGGGGATTTCTTTGAAACTCTGCTAGTTGAAATCTGAATAAAAATCAGCAGCACCACTCCGTGTAGCACAGCACCAACTAACGATAATCCCTCTCCCACCACCGGGCTCATTCGTGCACCAGGGGCCTCGGCCTGTGAGGCGGAAGCGGCGGGGGTGCGGTGCCGCTCTCAACGTCCCGTGCCGTCTCGTTTCAGTGACGCCGTGTGAGAAGGGCAAGGCGGGCGACGACGGGCGCCCCGGCCTGCAGGGGGCACCGGGTCTACAGGGACCTCGCGGCCAGGACGGCGGCCCAGGACGTCGCGGCCTGCCCGGCAGAACCGGCTTCCCCGGTCTCGACGGTTTGCCCGGCTCGGCAGGTGAGGGCTTCGCGCCACGGTCCGGCCCTCTAGCTCCGCGTGAACGCAGGCCCCACCCTCGAGCTCCGCGTGAACTCAGGTCCCACCCTCGAGCTCCGCGTGAACGCAGGTCCCACCCTCGAGCTCCATGCGAGCGCAGGTCCCGCCCTCGAGCTCCGCATGAACGCAGGTCCCACCTTCGAGCTCCACGCGAGCGCAGGTCTTGCCCTCGAGCTCCACGCGAGCGCAGGTCTTGCCCTCGAGCTTCACGCAAGCGCAGGTCCCACTCTCGAATTCCATGCGAGCGCAGGTCCCGCCCTCGAGCTCCATGCGAGCGCAGGTCCCGCCCTCGAGCTCCAAGTGAGTGCAGTCCGGCCAAGTGATAACGGAAGGACCGTTGCCTTCCACGGCCACCATTCGTGGTGAACGCATGCGCAACTATGTCAGAAGCCCAAAAACGGTGCATCGCAATCTCAACCAGCGTAAAAAGTCATGATTAAAAGACGTTCATTCAGCTTCGCTGTCTAGCAAACTGTTGTTCAGCTTCTTGGTTCACCACACTCAGGCTATTCCAGTCCAGTGCACCGTAGCCATGCTGGCCGCGGCTCACGCCCGTCCCCGTTCCGCACCGCGCGCCCCGACCGGGCGTGGGGCCGGATGACCAGCCACCGTCGCCGTTTCCTTACGACCTGACCTGACCTGACCCGACCGTGGCAGGTCTGGCCGGCCGGGACGGTCAGAAGGGCGCCGCTGGCGTGCTCATCTTCGAGGACGCCAAGCAGGGCCCGACCGGCGAGCTGGGTGGGATGGGGTCGGACGGCCTGCCCGGCGATGTCGGCCCTCAGGGCCCTGACGGCCTGCCCGGGCTGTCCGGCACACCAGGCTTCAAGGGCGAACTGGTGAGTAGCGGGAGCAGGTGAAGGTAGAGGGACAGTGTGGTAAGTCGGCATTCTGATATAGTGAGCGGTCTGAACATGTGAGCAGTGCCTCCGACCCGACCGTCGTCAGCTCAACGCCATCCACGTCACGGTGAGGTGACATGTCACAACAGCTCATGTGATCGTCGGATATAGCTGGAAACAGCGCGTTTCCGTGCACCCTATCCACCCAAAAGCTATTGAGATACACGAGCGCAAAATTCATCAGGCTCTTTGTTGCGAGGAGCGTTGCGGCTATCCTTTCCTGTATCGGCAGGGTGACTTCGGCGACCAGGGAATACCAGGACGGGACGGTCTGGATGGCAGACCCGGCAGAGACGGTGAGGACGCCAATCCCAACCAGAAGATCTTCCTCACTGGCGACAAGGGCCTGCGTGGCTTCGAGTGAGTAATCGGCTGTGGTACAGGTCGCAAAGGTCACGAAAGGTCACTGGCGTAATCGTTCATCCTTAGTTCCTTTCTTGCTGACTGCATCGTCGCTTAGTGCGCCTGTCTGCCGATGGGCAGCTACGCCGGACAGAGGCGCATAAATTGCACACGCACGCGCTGATGATAGCGATGGTGACTGCACCAGCGATGAGGGCGCTCATGACGACATTGCCTTAAAAGCACAGCGACCGTCAAAGCATGCAGCTCTTGTCGCCAAATCTCACCTCTGCCGCGGTGGAGCGTGGTGACGGCGCAGGCTGCCGCTCTTCACGCCCGGTCGCCTTGCAGCGGCGTACGTGGATCGGACGGAGAAGAGGGAGAAGCTGGAGAACCCGGAGACTCCCTGGGAGAAGAGAGACGAGGACCGAGAGGGCTTAGAGGAGAGCCTGGCTTTCCAGGTAGCTCTGGCGACGTCTGGGCTACGCACTAATTTGCGTGCACTGTCCAAAATAGAAATGTGTATATATTCCTTACAATTACGCGAAACGTAAGGGATGGCACTGGTGAAAAGGGCTGGAAAGATTTCACAACCTGTGGGTTTACGCAAGGTAAACTATACCTGTGTTCAGGGCACGTTGATGACCCTACAGCCACACGACGGTCGAAAGATACCCAGGATTTTTTGCGGAATGTGGATGTAATTCTTATAAATATATGTACGAGAGAATGCGAAGGCGATAGTGCGCCAAGATGAAAAATGCATCACGTGATCGAACGCTCATTCATGATCTGGCGGCCACAAAACCTGGGCTGAGTTTCCGTGCAGATGTGACAAGTTTAATAGCAAGTTCAGCTGGTGCCACGCACCCCACAGCTTTCACTGAACTACATTCAACAGCTTAGCGGGGGAGGGGGGGGGGGGGGTCGACCCTCACGTGACAGGCGCCGGCGGATCGACCGCAGCATGCAGCAGCCCTGTGCCCCTCTCCAGCGCCGCGGCGGCTCCCCGTCACCCAGCGCCGGCCCTGCCCGCAGGCATCAGCCCGGCCGGCGCCAAAGGCTTTGGCGGCGACCCGGGCGTGCCGGGCCGCCGTGGCCCACGCGGCCCCGCCGGCCGCTCCGAGCGCGGCGCGCTCGGTCTGAAGGGCTACCCGGGCATCCCGGGCGACCGCGGCCTGGACGGCCGCGCCGGCGAGCCGGGGCTACGAGGACAAGACGGCTTCCCGGTGAGTGCCGCCGGCGCCGGCCTCCCGTCTCGGCGCATCTGAGAGCAGCTTGGCACGGGTGCTCATTCTGAGAATGAAATGCTCGGTGTGAGACCGCCTGAGATGAGCCGACTCGGCACTGACCCCGACGGCGCATCGCGCGTCATCGGCGTCTGATGTTGCCGGTGTTATTGCGGCTACTTCCTTGAGAGTACCACAAAGCTTTTTTGACATGTTGAAATAGGCCCAATTTTCATCGGAACGGCTCAGCGGTCTGGCTCCGCATCCTGACCGCAGTCCTCTGTGCCACCAATAGAGGCCTTTCGCCTAACCGGTTGCCCGCCACCGCCGCCAATAGAGGCCTCTCGCCTGACCGGCCGCCGGTCGAGGCCTATCGCCTGTCCGGCTGCCCGCCGCCGCCGCCGGTCGAGGCCTCTCGCCTGACCGGCCGCCTGCCGCCGCCGGTCGAGGCCTCTCACTTGACCGGCTGCCTGCCGCCGCCGGTCGAGGCCTATCGCCTGTCCGGCTGCCTGCCGCCGCCGCTTCGCCGTCCGTTCGCCAGCACGTCACATGCACCCGACTGACGCGGCGCGCGTGTGGCAGGGAGCGCCGGGCCGCAAGGGCGAGCGCGGTAACGACGGCCAGCGGATCCTGCCGGGCGTGCCGGGCTTCGACGGCATACCGGGCGGACCTGGCGAGGCCGGCGAACTCGGCGCCACCGGGCCGCCCGGCCCGCTCGGTCGGCGCGGCGCCGTCGGCTTCCCCGGCGAGAAGGGCTCGCCCGGCTTCCAGGGTCGACCAGGACGGCAGGTGAGCAGAGGGGCGGGTGACGCTGCGCTGTGAGGTGGGGCCGAGGGGGGGGGGGGGACAGGGCGAGATGTCCACTCAGAATCGCGACGGAAGAGCGTTGTAGTTCACAATGGGTGTTAGAAACCGAAGATGTGATGGTTTGACGGAATGCAAAAGAACTTACAAGCTTTCATATGGGAAAACAGTTGATGTTTGCCTAACATTATAAAAGGCCAGTGACGCGTAATTATAGCAGCTGGCTGAACAAAGCATATGCCTCAGCCCGTGGAGGAGTGAGAGATCTAATAAGCCAAAGTCAGCAAGAATGCAAAACAGGAACAAAAAGTACACCACCCGCAGTCAACGACCACGCAGCCAATGCGCTTGCGTCGTTCGCCGAATCAGCGACGCCTGGTGTTGAGCGGGGGTCTGAGCGCCTCTCTCGGTCGCCACCAGGGCGCGCGCGGACGGCAGGGCGAGGTGGTGCCCGGCTTCCCGGGTCTGCCGGGGCCGCGCGGTATGCCCGGCCTGCCCGGCCTGTTCGGCTTCCCCGGGCAGAAGGGCAACGACGGCCTGCCCGGCGGCGTGGGACTGCCCGGCCCGGACGGCGAGGACGGTCGGCCGGGCCTGCCCGGCATGGACGGCTTCCCCGGCCGGACGGGCCTACCCGGCCGCCAGGGCACGCGTGGCCTGCCTGGCCGCGATGGCGCCAAGGGCATGCGAGGCAACGATGGGCCGCGGGCAGGTGAGTGGGCACAGAAGCACCACGCTTGCCGCGCTCAAGCCTGCGCTGCATGTTCTTTATGAGGCGCCAACAGCGCTACATGAATGTCCAATGTTCAGGGCATCGTCCAGTGGTAGGCGTAGAGCCCATGTCGTACCTTGTTGGACTGATGCAGTCAGCGTACCAGGAATGAAGATCACCAACCTAGGGCTGTACGCAACATCACAGCTTCTGCCGGTTGGCATCACAGCTACTTCGTGTCAGTTGGCGTTTTGATACGGCGTGCGTAATGAGCGAGTGAATAGCACCGCAGTGAGACCTAACTCGCCACCGTGTACCTCGTAGGCCCCGCGGGCCCCAAGGGCTTCCCGGGCCGTCCGGGCTTCTCGGGCGCGCCGGGGCCGCTCGGCGAGGAGGGCTTGCCGGGCGCGCCTGGCCTGGACGGCGAGCAGGGCCTGGCCGGACAGCGGGGCGACTTCGGACCGCCGGGAGCGGACGGCCTGCCCGGCGACGACTCGGCCCGTGGCGAGCCGGGCCCGCCCGGCCTGGACGGCCTGGACGGCCTGCCCGGCCGGCCGGGCAACACCGGCGCTGTCGGCCGGCCGGGCGCCCAGGGCGCTCCCGGCGACAGCGAGGACGGCCTCCCCGGTGAGCCCGGCCTTGCGGGCGAGCAGGGACGGCCCGGCCGCTTCGGCTTCGACGGCCAGAAGGTCAGTGACGCCGCGGCGCTCCGCCACAGCTGGCTGGCCCGGTTTCCACTGACAACAGTGAATTTAGAGATGTGTTACTTGGCGAGGCAGAGGAAAGACCGGCTGGGTATGTGATCGCTTGCTCTTTGCAGGTCAGAAGATAGCAGATGTGTGGCTCGATATTGCTGGGCCCGTGTCGCCACAGTGTGCTGGCCTGACAAGTGTTTCCAGTTGTTCGTCCCAGCACGCCTGCGGCTTGCAAAGCGTGCGTCGTTGTCGTCGTCGTGTTCAGCTGTGCGTTGCGTTGTCGTCGTCGTTGTCGTTCAGCTGTGCGTTGCGTTGTCGTTGCGTTCAGCTGTGCGTTGTCGTTGTCGTTGTCGTTCAGCTGTGCGTTGTCGTTGTCGCTGTCGTTCAGCTGTGCGTTGTCGTTGTCGTTGTCGTTATCGTTCAGCTGTGCGTTGTCGCTGTCGTTGTCGTTCAGCTGTGCGTTGTCGTTGTCGTTGTCGCTGTCGTTCAGCTGTGCGTTGTCGTTGTCGTTGTCGTTGTCGTTCAGCTGTGCGTTGCGTTGTCGTTGTCGTTATCGTTGTCGTTCAGCTGTGCGTTGCGTTGTCGTTGTCGTTGTCGTTGTCGTTCAGCTGTGCGCTAGTGTGGCCCGCTGACGGAGCCATCGGCTGGCTCCAGGGCGCGCCGGGCGATGTCGGCAGACCTGGCCCCGCCGGCGCAGCAGGAGAGGACGGCTTCCCCGGCCAGTCTGGCCGGCCCGGCCAGCCCGGCCGCTTCGGCCTGAAGGGAGCGCGCGGGGACGCCGGTGCTGACGGGTCCGCCGGAAACGACGGCCGACCCGGCCTCCGCGGCGAGCCTGGTCGGGGCGGCCTGAGAGGTAGCACTGCGAGCGAGGAGTGAGACGTGGCACTGGTCGACACGGGACTGAATGGTTACACTGTTCGACACGGGACTGAATGGTTACACTGTTCGACACGGGACTGTGGTTACACTGGTCGACACGGGACTGAATGGTTACACTGGTCGACACGGGACTGAATGGTTGCTTACAAGGCACCGATGCGAGTAAAGGGCGCTGCAGTCCGTGTCACTTTTACTCTAGCAAAGAGCGGAGAGGTGTGGAAGCCGTTCCTAACAGAGAATTTCAATTTCAATTCGTCAAAATTTCAATTTTCACCACGGAACTTCCACTACATGTCTGCGGGGAAAGTTATCAACGGTCTCTTGGAATAATGCCACTGACAGTTTTTCAAATCGCGTGATCAGTTTTCAATGCCCTAGACGGATCCAAGCTCACGCAAGTGAGGTGGGTTGGAACCGAACGCAGCATAGCATGCAGTCCTCAAGCTGTAGGAAATGCGCGCATTCTATGCGGCATGATACGCACGCACTTCTCGCACTCTGGGAACTATGCTTGACTTGCGCGCTTACTCCTGAGCTGCGTGACCTATGCTCGCTCGGAGCCCTCCACCATGAGTTGTTTTCTGGAATGTGATCAAAGAAGTGAAAGTGTTAACATTAAATATGCACAAAGATGTCCCTCTGTAGATAATCGAGTCGTTCACTTTGTGGTACTCCTGTCAGCGATGAGTCTCATTTTGCCTCCAGCTGTGCCTGGTGATACATGTGCTGGTCCCAATATCCGGTAACGCCCCTCCCCCCCCCCTCCGTTGCACCAGGCCTGTCTGGCGCCCCAGGACGGCAGGGCCAGCAGGGCCTGCCCGGCTTCCCCGGCTTGAAGGGTCAGTTCGGTGTGAACGGCAGCCCCGGCCTGCCCGGCCTGGATGGCACCCCCGGAGACTCGGGCTTCGCGGGCCTGAAGGGCAGCGCGGGCCGGCCCGGCCTGGCCGGCTTCCCCGGCCTGAAGGGTCGCCGCGGCCTGGCCGGCGACGCGGGCGTCGGCGGCGAACGCGGCGAGCCCGGCAGACCGGGTGCGGCCGGCGCCACCGGCGAGGCGGGCCCGGCCGGCCGCGACGGACGCGTCATTGGCGGCGAACAGGGCGAAGAGGGCGGCATCGGCTTCCGCGGCGTGGACGGCCTGCCGGGCTTCCCGGGCCAGAAGGGCTCCCCGGGCGACTACGGCGACCGAGGCGCCGGCGGCCCAGACGGGGAGGACGGTCCGGCCGGGCCGCTCGGCGCCCCCGGCGAGCGCGGCATCGACGGCCTGCCCGGCCGCGACGGCCGCGTGGGACTGCCCGGCCGCCCCGGCGCCTCCGGCCGACCGGGCGCTGACGGCGACCGAGGCATGGACGGCGACGCCGGATACGACGGATTCCCGGGACTCGAGTAAGTGGTCTGCCGCGCGGCTTTACCGCCACCGGTGCGTTTTTAGTTTTATGCATTGTTTATTACTACTTGCCTCATCAGTGCTGTGGTCTTCCCGTAACGTTGCATGTTTACATTTGTGACACGCAATATGGCTGTTTTCAAATGATAAGTCACTAGTCGGGGCGATTCCTTAATAAATCACTTGACTTGCTGCACAGACACTGCCCTCACGTTGTTTCAGACAATGGAATGAGGCGATGCACTTAGATGGCCGATAATCATTCGCATTGCAACGCCTGAAGTTACTGCTCGTTTGAAACGACTCCCCCGGCAACGCACCGCTAGGCCTTCACTGCTGAGTCGGTTCCGGCTCCCCTGCCTCTAGCTTCCGGCTGACACTTAACTCACTTCCAGCGGACTGGCAGGTGACCGCGGTCTGCCCGGTCTGCCGGGCATTGACGGCATTGCCGGCCTGAAAGGCGAGCTTGGCGAGCCGGGCCTGCCGGGCACCAGCGGCCTGCCCGGCGCCAAGGGCCTGGCCGGCTTCCCCGGCCGGCCCGGCTTCCCGGGCTTCGCCGGCTCGCCCGGCCAGAAGGGCTCCACCGGCGACTTCGGCGCCTTCGGCTTCAAGGGCGAGGCGGGCGAGGCGGGCCTGCTCGGCTTCCCGGGCGCGCCGGGCGCCGCCGGCCGCATGGGCAAGCCCGGTCGCGACGGGTTCCCCGGCCGCGCCGGCGACCAGGGCCGACGCGGACGCGACGGCCGGCCCGGCGACGCCGGTGCCAGGGGCATGGACGGCTCGCCGGGCGTGGACGGCCGGGTCGGGCCGGCCGGCGACATCGGTCCGCCCGGCCTGCCCGGCGATGACGCGCCGCCCGGACCGCTGCCCAAGCCCCGCGGCTTCTTCTTCACCCGGCACAGCCAGACGTCGTCGCTGCCGCAGTGTCCGCCCGGCACCACCCGGCTCTGGGACGGCTACTCGCTGCTGCATGTCACCGGCAACACCAAGGCCCACGGCGCCGACCTCGGTGAGTGCGCTGGAGCACGGGCGACAGGACACGGCGCTAAGGGACGGCAGGGGTCGCCTGAACGGCGCCCAGTTGTCGGTGCTCTACGATATTATTTATGCGCTGCCTTCCAGCTTTAAAATATTTGCAAGTGCAGTTCCTACATAAGGGTATAGGAAAATCGACAAGTGGTTAAGTTGCCAATCGTCACAGTTCTGCGAAAACTCGCCTCTCAGTAGTCGTCACTCCTGTCAGAGGTCTGGGGAGGCGGGTGAGGTATTGGCGCAGAGTGGATCCAGCGGTAGCCAAACGGAAGTTATATACCACGACGACTACAAAAGTATGCTGCTCGTGGAAACTTGACACAATATTCATGGCTTGACTGTGGCCAGGAACAGCCGATGGGTATGTCCCTGTGCGGCCACCTGGTACCATAGCATCCTGACGCCGTTGCTGCGGGGCTGATCGTGACTGTCACGTGAGCTTACCAAACCAGGCCTAAACAGCATTACATTTCCAACGAATTAAATGCTATCACTGTTATTAAACAAAATTGGACTGATCACTCTTTCAAGCGTATTGGTTCATGTGGCGGACGAGCTCTGCTAACTTCATCTTCCCCATCACGCAGGCACTCCCGGATCCTGCATGCGCAAGTTCTCCACCATGCCGTACTTGTTTTGTAACGTCAACAACCAATGCGAGTACGCCCAGCGCAACGACTACAGCTACTGGCTGAGCACGCCAGAGCCGATGCCCATGATGATGACGCCCATCGTCGGACGAGACATCGAGAGATACATCTCCAGGTGAGCAGAAGCCCAGCTCTCGTCGCTGAGCAGAAAACTGCGCCGACACTCCTCGGCAGACGCTGGCACTCCACGGCAGTGGCGCAGCCATGGTCGCGACTCTGGCCTGTGCTGGTTGACTCCTGCGGCGGCCTCTGCTGCCAGTGAACTGACGTCACCCACCGCTTACATCTCGGGGTCCACCTGCAGTAACGCACAAAGCCACTGACCAACGAAGTCCATCGCGGGCGCAAGTCTCGGGCAGAAGGTGACCACATTCCCAGGCCCGGCGGACTTGTTTGCCGGACTTTGCTTGGGAGCTGAGCCACGGATTCCAGATCGGCAGACGAGTGCATCGATTGGTTCAGCTGACAGTGACCTATATCTGTACGTCGTGTGCAGCACCAGTATGCCAGTCGCACCCCAACAGTGCCCTGCCTCATCCACCCCAGCACGATGTGCACAGAACGTCCACCTTCAGGTTGGTGGTGGAAGCTTGTCAATGCTCGACACATATGTAACTATGTTGTCTATCGACACCTGCGTAACTACGTTGTCTATCGTTACGAGGTCATGGGTGATGAGCAAACCTATTTAGACAGAAAACATTCTGAACCAGAGTGCCCCGGCCCAGACGCCGTGTTTTGTAGAAGCCATATCCTTACATTCAAACTATGCATTGTGTCTCCATTTTAAATCGCAGTAAGAAAACGTATAGGCTTCTCGCCTTATTGATGGCAAAACTTAAAATTCGCTGCTTGCAAACGCCGCCGCAACTCGCTGTGAGCGGCCAAGTTGGCGGTGCCGGCTGACGCGTCTGCCCCCCCCCCCCCCTCCCCGCTGCAGATGCTCCGTCTGTGAGGCCGAGACGCTGGTGATCGCCATCCACAGTCAGAGCATGGACGTGCCGGAGTGTCCCACGAACTGGGAGAGCATCTGGATCGGCTATTCGTTCCTCATGGTAACCGCCGCGTGCTCGTCAGTGCTTGTCATGGTGCTCACCTTTCTTCCTGTGGCGTTTCTCACACGAATGGTCATCTTACGAGAAAGCTGTAATATTTTCAACGTTGTTTGTGAAGAAATAAGTTATTGCTATGTCTTGAGAAGTTCAAAGCGGTGATGATGAGGGCGGCGATTAAACTCGACTTGTGTTCCAAGCCTGCATGCCCGTCGCGAAAGTGAAGCGGCTTGCAACACTCGGTAGTTTCGAACGTTGCCATGACGACGGCCACTTTGTCTCAGCACACGGACGCCGGCGCCGAGGGCGGCGGCCAGTCTCTGGTGTCGCCCGGCTCCTGTCTCGAGGACTTCCGGCCGTCGCCGTTCATCGAGTGCCACGGCCACGGCCGCTGCAACTACTTCACCACCGCCTTCTCCTACTGGCTGGCCACCATCGAGAGCTCGACGCAGTTCCGTCGGCCGGTGCAGCAGACGCTGAAGGCGGGCAGCCTGCGCCAACGCATCTCGCGCTGCTCCGTCTGCCGCCGGCAGCGACCGCGCGACCTGCCCTCCCCCGGCCAGAGCTTCTCTCGCAACAGGTTCTTCCAGTTCTGAGCGACGGCGGAGACATCTAGCGACGAAGGCAGTGACCTCTAGCGGCCCCTCGCCAGGCCCCGTCGGTGACGACGCCTAGTAAAGGGGTAGTGGTGCGGCCGCAAGAAGTCCGTCGCTGTGATAATCATAAACTCGCCGGCCGGTGCGCGCAAGTGCAGGAGAGGGGCTGGGAAGCGCGCGCCAGCCGGGTCGCTTCAGAGCCCCAGTTTGGCTACAAATGTGTCCCGCGTGCGACGAAACGGGGAAAATCTGAGTCGGAACAATAACTTTTAAACGAATGTACACAGTCAGATCTTCTTTTGGATTCGCGTTGCGTTGTTTATGTTGTGTGTAGGTTTTGTATGGGATTTTCAGATTACTGTTCGCTGAAAACTAACACGGACAATAACGAGTGACAATAACGCTCCGTGTAAACAGTGCCGCATTGGAGCAAATCCATATGCCCATATTCACGACACTGTCCAGCTTTTGTGTTTCTACATTATGAGCGTCATAGCGTTGTATTTTAGGATGCAGAGAGTTTCGCAGGATACAGCTACCAGGGATTTGAGCTTCGCGTCAGGGCAAGGCCAGAACCCACGTTGTAGCCACACTGGGGCGCCTATCACTGCCATGGTAGACAATTTCACTGCCAAGAATAATCGCTACGTACGCAGAAGCCACCGCGAAGGTTATCTCAACGTGGCTGTCAGCGATGATTGTCTGGTGTATGTTCTAGTCGCTTAGAGTACTAATTCCAGGTTTCCGATCTTATTTCATTCGGATAGCTGCATATATGGCGGTGCTCACGAGGGCTGGGCTAGGTCAAATCTGACAATAAAATGCCTGTTGAAGCTTGACCAACCAAAATAAAGTGGACGATCGTCTTTTAAGCTGCATTTTTAATACAAATAGTCTTAAGCAGAATGACCGCGGTGGGTGCTACACCGTGTACGACCATATATCGAGGAATGCCAGTTTAACTGGGACATATGGATAATTTGGGAATCGTATTCGTCTGATAACATTGCCTATCTAGTTGCTATCACCATCTCAAGTGGTAAATGCGCCACGATTGTGAAGCAGCGGCCAGTTTACCTTTCACTGGGACGTACCCGATGCTAACATTACGTTGTTGAAAGATGCCCGTTCACGAAGGTGTTCCACAACAATTCATTCCAGCGTTGCCTTCCATGGTGGCCGCTCAGGCCTAAATCTCATACCTTTCGCGGCTGCACCATCGTTCCCATAGCTACGCACAGCCAGCCCACAGAGTAGCGCTGGCGATGGCACCGCACAGCACATACACGCACGCCACAGAGTGCCGGCAGCAGCGTCGAAGTCGGCCTCCGGTGGCCGCCGCAAATGCCATGCTATGGTCGGCGGCACCGGGCAGTGTGGGTGCGATAGCCGGCGATTTCAGAGGCTTCAAAACTCCAGAACGTAGAATGTAAGTGATCGGAAAGTCGATCCCGACTCCGCCCACCGAGCAGCTGGCAGCTGGCCAAGATGAGGTACCACGGAAAACCACCGATGTACCACCGAGGTCGCGAGAACACTGCGCGTAATGCAGCTTTTTGTTCCTGTAGACTGGTGTCTGGAATACGTCAGGCTATCGCGGCGACGCCAACGGCCTCAAAAATATCTGGTATCGCAGACGACCACGGATCTTGAAACGGTCGAGCGATATTGACAAAAATCCGATGAAACCACGCCGACCCACGAAACCCAGCCATGTTCAGGACAGACGCGCGCAGCCAACATCTCAGGCTATTCGGTGGCTCTCAAAGCACGGGGGCGGAGGGCAACACAGAACGACACGAGACCACGGATGGGTTGCACGTGGCAACCAGGACATGCTGAAATGCCCCAAGGGCGGTATCATGCTCACCAACTGCGACACGGCCACCCCTGGCCCATGGCGGCCGTGTCGCGGCATTATGCGGCACGTTAAACCCCTCGCAGTCCTGTCTGGCACAGGGGCGGAGGCGAAATCATCCGTTGAAATGGACGGCACGACTTGGCTGGTGGGTTCAGGTTACACGCAACAAGCTATGCTTAGCAGATACAGTGAACCCAGAGTCACCCATAAAACCGTTGGGGATAAATTCTCAACCGCCATCTCACCTGGGAACCCCACATCGTCTCACTCGTTCGGGGCTGTAATGCATTCTTCGTATCCCTGTTTAGAACTGGCCACCAGCTCACTCCTGAGGCTCTGAAGCTCCTTGTCCACCAGCTCACTCCTGAGGCTCTGAAGCTCCTTGTCCACCAGCTCACTCCTGAGGCTCTGAAGCTCCTTGTCCACCAGCTCACTCCTGAGGCTCTGAAACTCCTTGTCCACCAGCTCACTCCTGAGGCTCTGAAGCTCCTTGTCCACCAGCTCACTCCTGAGGCTCTGAAGCTCCTTGGCCACCAGCCCACTCCTGAGGCTCTGAAGCTCCTTGTCCACCAGCTCACTCCTGAGGCTCTGAAGCTCCTTGTCCACCAGCTCACTCCTGAGGCTCTGAAGCTCCTTGTCCACCAGCTCACTCCTGAGGCTCTGAAGCTCCTTGTCCACCAGCTCACTCCTGAGGCTCTGAAGCTCCTTGGCCACCAGCTCACTCCTGAGGCTCTGAAGCTCCTTGTCCACCAGCTCACTCCTGAGGCTCTGAAGCTCCTTGTCCACCAGCTCACTCCTGAGGCTCTGAAGCTCCTTGTCCACCAGCTCACTCCTGAGGCTCTGAAGCTCCTTGTCCACCAGCTCACTCCTGAGGCTCTGAAGCTCCTTGTCCAAGTTCACTCCTGAGGCTCTGAAGCTCCTTGCCCAAGTTCACTCCTGAGGCTCTGAAGCTCCTTGTCCAAGTTCACTCCTGAGGCTCTGAAGCTCCTTGCCCAAGTTCACTCCTGAGGCTCTGAAGCTCCTTGCCCAAGTTCACTCCTGAGGCTCTGAAGCTCCTTGGCCACCAGCCCACTCCTGAGGCTCTGAAGCTCCTTGGCCACCAGCTTACTCCTGAGGCTCTGAAACTCCTTGTCCAAGTTCACTCCTGAGGCTCTGAAGCTCCTTGTCCAAGTTCACTCCTGAGGCTCTGAAGCTCCTTGTCCAAGTTCACGTCTGCCCCCACATCCACTACTGCCTGTCCATCTGGGGTGGGGCGGCCAAGCGTCACCTAGACAGGGCGCAAAGGGTGATGCACTTCGCAGCCAGGCTAGTGAGTGGTGCCCGCCTTAGTGATCACATTTCACCCGTTCTGAAAGCACTCGACTGGCGTAGCTTCGCGGATCTTGCGCACCACCGGTACTACCCGAATGTGCACAGGGCCCTGCACATCCCCGAATCCCCTAGTGCACGCATGCTCTATTCGTTCCGCGCGCCGAGTCTTCCCAACGTCAAATTCGACTTGTTTCGGGCGGCGTCGGCGCGCTACAGCAGCCGGGCGTCCAAACCGACCGCCACCCAGTGCCATTTTCCGCGCGGCTCCGCCGCCGCGTGGTCCCGGCTGGTCCCGGCGGCCGCTCGCGCCCCCCGCGCCGAGCATTCTTGACTCTTTGAAATCGCTGACTCAATTACTGAAACTGCCTTTACCCGTGCGTATGTATGCACCTCTATGTACTGTGCGTGTTTTCTTTTCTTGACGAGTAGACAAAGAAGAGCCACCACATGGATGCGCCTTCAATAAAATAAATAAGTGTGGACTGTAAATTCAAGGCATTTCGACATCTTGATCCAGCAAAGCCTTTGCGCCCAGGCTTTTCTGGCCTGCGGGTTGAGAGCGTTGAGCTTTGCGGACCAGAAAAGCTGGGAATTTATGTAACACACACTTTAAAGTCGCTTCTGTAGGCTGCGTAAGTTACATCTTTGAATTCTTGAAACCCAGCAATGAAATTTTCATTTTAATGATGTATAGCGTACGCAGTCATTCACACACACATATCCATGTTCGTGTTCATGCACGTCGTCGCACGTTCATGCACTTGGAGAGGAAGGGAGGGAGCCGCCAGGGAGCGCCAGTAGCCACTGGAGCGCAGTGTGACCACTGAACACGAGCTCACTGAACCTGGAACCGAGAAACTGAACCTCTTCACATTGGCTTAGGAGGGATATTGCCCAGCACTGGACAGAATTCTCCCCCCCCCAACACACACCCGCGCGAACACACACACACACACACACACACACACACACACACACACACACACACACACACACTTTGACAAACGTGTCTGTCGCTTCTCCCACTCGCAGCTGTACTAGCCGCGCCATATCTTGCAGCTAATTCGCAAGTCTTTTTTTGTCGCTTTTTGTCTGAACGCAAGAATAGAGGGTCCCATAAATCTCAAAAGAATGCCGACTTTGGTGGTGCTTTAGGTAAACACATCTTCGAGATCGATCATTTGGATTGGATTTGTCAAAATAGCCACTCCAAACTTCTTTAATACTGCCCGCAAGAAACTGCGATTGCGACTAGACTTTCGACCCTTGAAATTGTCCAGATAGCTGTTAGCAAGACGATGCGAAACAGCAAGGCGATGACGCTCCGTGACAAACATGAAGACCATGGGAAAGGGAAGGCCGACGGACTGAAATCGATATAATTACTTTCAGGTACCAACGGTAGCACGTCCAGCCACCGCAGCATACTCACCAAGCCCGCTCCGCACCAGACTCGGTCTGCCGGCCCCCCGGCGGCCGCCGTCGCCGCTATGATTGCCCACCGGGACCAGTCTGACCCGCCGACCTCAATCGAACGTCGGGCGTGACCTCTGATCCCGGCGGGGCCCCCTTTGACCCGCTCCATCCCTGGCGTCCACGAGGGACGGCGGCGGGATCTTGTACGGAGCGGCGGGGGCCGAAGCCCGGCTTAGAGGGGCCGGGCGCCTCCGTTGATGAGCAATGTGCAAGCGGCGGGAGTAATCCGACGATGGCGCGGGCGTTCGCTATTTTATACCAGGCGATGACGTCAGCGTGCTGCGCGACGTGGCTGTTCGCTGGTTGGTCGCCGCCAAGGCCGGCCGCCGCTATTGCACCACGTGTGTCTGACCAGGAGTGGGCTCCGGAGCCTCCCGGCGGCCGTCGGAGAACGGCTTACAACGGGTCAGAGCAGGAGAGGCACTTTATAATCGGGATAGGGCAGGTCACTGTCATGCAGACCTATAGGTAGCATGTGAACGAGTTTGATATCCCAAACCCTGGGTTTGATCGCCACTCATATTCATAGCATATGCACATGGCTTTGCTCACCTGTTTTTGGAGCAACACTGAGGGGAGCACACACGGGCAGCTGTGCAGTTCCTTTATTGTGAGTGTGCAATCTAACGTCTTCTAAAGAGGAAATAATTGCGGCTGTACTTTTCCTTCACGTTTCGTACACCATGAACGTATCGTCCCTTGCCTCAGAGCCTCTCGTGCGCACGCGAAGTGTGTGGAAGGGGGTAAAAGAGCCGGGCTAGTGACCCTCACACGGCTCCGGGTAGGCCTAAGTTTCGAGGATATATTGCAGGCTTGGTACTGCCCCTTCCGCAATAACGTGTTCCTTCCTTTCCCAAAATGCTGTAGGCTTCCCGCATCGGCGCGGGGGAATCCCTAAGCTTCGGTTTCTCCTTTCTAGAGGTCAAGGCATAATCGAGTTTTTGACGATAACATCATCTTGGTTTTGAACGCGCTCCGAACGGTGCCAGCATCCATTTATAGGCCGACAGCACCTCTCATCGTAACACAGCTGATTTTCTCCAGCGTATGATAAACAAAAGGAGGTCAGCAGGGCCAGTATGCAAATCTTTCCGACACAGTACGTAGCAAGCCCAGTCCTCCTTTCCAGAGCACGGCTCACGAGCTTGGTGAAAACTCGTGATGAACCTATCGACTCGAACACCATAAACTTCCAGCTTTTAAGTCTTCGAGCGCACTGTTACC